AGAAAAAATTGGGATAGTCCGTAAATAAAAGTGTTGTCAGGAATGTCACAAATCATTACATGTATATGGAACAAAAAGAAAATCATTCAATTGTTTTTCTTGATATCGACAGAGTGAACTTTATCATTGGAAAAAAAAAATTTTTAAGTTTATTGTTTGTATTTAGTTTTTGATTGACTTTAGCAGATTCTCAACTTTTAGAACATATTTTACTTTGCAAACTTCATTTTTGTTCATGATCTTTTTTCTTTTTCTTTTTGGAAGAAAGATTTCAGAGAGTGTGAAGCATTGGAAGAATAATGAAAAATGAGTGATTTGGAATGAGCCAATGGTTTACGTAGGGTTGAACCCTTACAATTGCAAAGCTGATGTCGGAGTATCAAATATTACATGTCACATCAAAATATCACAAATTCAAAGAAAGGAAAATCTTCTGTAATAAGGAAAATAATGATCAACACTGAACACAACCAGGTACACTATTTGTAAACAAGAAGCATTTTTCAAATAAGACCAATCATTCTGAATGTGTGGTACATGTACTATTAACCCTAACCCCATGGAAGCCAACATGATCCAACCCCATGCAATTTCTCTTGGATTTGGTTGATCATAGAACTTAGTCAACCAATTTTTTGTTGTTTGGTACAGCGTCAACACAGAGCCATGGAAAATCTTTGGATATCAACGCTTTGCCTACAGTGAACCAATTAGCATCTTTAAGTGGTTTCACATAGGGTGATTAGCAGATTATTTAGTTCATATAAGGCCATAGTAGCCACAGACTTCATGACTGCCTTTGTAATTCTTCAAATTATGTGTGAGAGGTTAAAAATTGAAAATGAAAGGTGCCTATTCAACAATTCTGCCAGGATCTATGTGTATCTCACAAAGAAAATTAAAGTTGCAATATAACATGCCAGTATTTCAAACAAAGGGAAGAATTCCATACACGGACATCATTAATTTTTCCCTGCAGTGACCCATCAGCCATCAGAAAACTATAACATGTCCTAAAAAGTCCCATTTTGCAGGGAAAATATTGAAGCATACCCTTGGAATTTTTCAGACCAGTCTCATCATAGGGTTTGTGTACAGGGTGTCAGGTATGGAACTCTTTCCCCAAGGGTTTACCAAGGTAGACCAAAAGGGCCACAAGAGGATTGTACTGAACAGAAATCTGGATGTGTCTGCTGCTCGAAAAGGGTTCTGATGAATGCTGAAATCTGTGCACTGCTATGCTGTTGAAATAAGTAGGGATAACTGGTATCACATTGTTCTCCATGAATTTGTCCTTGGGAGTGGCTCGCAGAAAGCTTGACCTCGCTGCATCGAGAGCAGAACTGATGCATTCCTGATGAAGTCTGGAGGTGACTGGTCAGATGGTGGCGAGATTGGATGCGGTAGAATCTTTGCCTTGTCTTGACAGGAACCGTTCACACATCTCTGAAGACTTCTACTTTCTCATGTGACGAGACTCGATCATTTTCAAGCTTCTCCATGTTCCCCTGCACTTCTAGTGTGATATCCTTTGTTGTCTTAAAAGTTTGGGACAGATTGTTGAAACCGATGAGGAATACATCACAGTGTTAAACTAGCAGATTTTTGTTTCATGAAATGTCCATGGTTGTTGAATCTGGCTGCCTCCATCACCGATGGATTACCCCGATTTTATTGATACCGGTTTGAGTCGCAAAGTCGCATGATTTTGTTCCTAGTTCCTGGTTCATTTATCAAACTGCACTGCGTTTATCGCCTTCATTGAATAGCAGCTTTTGATCACAAAAATCATTCAGTCATGTTTACAAAGTACTGCATTTACGTACGCCGTAGAAATGCTCTTACGATGACTTGACTTACGTTGAAATTGAAGACAAAGAGAGCCACAAATTTCAAAGGCTCCAGTTCTTACGGATGAATCTCGTCTCTGCTTGTCTTCGCAAGTTCATCAAATAAGCATGTACTTTGTAAGTTCATCGAATAAGTATCATTTTTACCGCGTAGCTACCCAACACCACATATGGATGGGTTGATCATGTTGATGTGTACACGCCTCCTCCCGGCTCCCCGCCGCATCAAGTACACGTTACAAATTCCCTCCACCAGATCTCTTTCGGGCATAGCACCCTAGACAAGCGCATATCCCCAGAATGCCGAAGATTAGCCCAAAAATAAGGGCTATGGCATCGCCTGCGTCGAAGGCAGAGACAACAGGGAGGCACAGGGCCATCACAAAGAGAACGAGTTGCCAGCTTTCAGCCATTTTTCGATGAGTTTCGTTCTCCTCAACGTTAAAAATTGGAGATTGTTGCACGATATAGAGGTACGTCTGGTACACCGAGTTCTGTCATACCACAAAATGCAGGTGCATATGGACGGTGAACAGACTAAACTCGTGACCCTGACGGGGAAACAGCTGGTACTTTTGGAAATCCGCCCTGGATATTTTGAAAGGTGCAGATCACCAGCGCAAGGAATTTCCCGAACCTCGGCTCCGGGTTGGGCTTATGATGACCGTTTTTCTGAGCCGTTTCAACTCGTGACACTGACGGAAAAGCAGCTGATCAACAGAAACGACAAATTCCCTAAAGGTCTTATCGAAGGTTTCAGGTTACCGGTTGCTGCGGTTGAGATCCCTCAATTTGGGGGAAAAATAATTGTGATTGCTGGGCCTGGAATTCCACTGTTTGCGCATGAAATATCAAGACCCGGGTTAGGGTCGCAACACCCCCCCCCCCCTTATCGCCCCCCGTTCAGCCGCTGACCAATGTTATGAAACTAGTAAAATGGGGCCAAACATAACAATCGGAATGCTAAAGTTCCTAAATTTATTCTCAAATTGCCATAGAATGCGCAACCGGACCGGACTCCGGAACTGCCCGGCCGCTGCCGGGCATGGCATTCACTCACCCCCCCCCCCCCCAACACACCTTCATACCGACCCCCCGATTCCTGAAAACTAGATCCGCCCCTCAATTAGAATCTAGTGATATAATCTTACTTTTGCACATGACTATTTTAAAGTGGTATGCGGCCATGCCTTGGCGAAAAATAAATAAAGTATACTTTACGGACTCAGCCTAGCCATCACAAGCAATGGAACATGCTTATGCAGTCCTTCCGTATAGCTTCATGTTCGATTCAACCAACCAACTAAGATCTATCTGGTAAGAAATCGCATGAGAACACCGGTGTTACATAATAATTATTTAGCTGAAACAATATACAAGTCTTCAACACTTGGCTAATTTGACGGACGTCATCAGAAATCCGTGACTGTCATTAGCTTTAAAAGGTGCTCTTCCGTGCTCTTCAACAAATTAGATTTTTTTTCACGACTAATTTTCAATTTATATGTTTATTAAACCCAAAACCCTCACGTTTTCCCCTCTGTTTTTGGCGCTTGCAATAAACCCTATGGAAATATGGCTTTTGCTGTTGCGCATACTTTTAGTTATGCTTATAGTGTTCTCTAGCAGTGGCGCACTTCGACGCTTCCTCATGCCGTGTTGACAAACCTCTTTGTTGACAAACTTCAAATTCATTCAGTTAAATGCTGGTACTTTTACCTTATTATTAATGCTTGCTGTTGAACCTTTGTGAACAATTTCAGTGTCTTTAAACTTAGTCCGAAATTTCCGGTGGCGTCCGGAAATTGGGCACAAAATCAGCTGAGCGTTCCCTATCGTGGCGCACTAAATCTCAGGGAAAATCCCAAGTTAACATTAAATAATTGTTGATAAATTCTGATAAACCATTATTATCTGTACTTACATACCGGATGAGGAGTTTGTCAAAAAATAGTTTTCACTGTGCACTTCGAAGTAAAATCAGAAATTCACGCCAAAATAAATTTCTCTGCTAACTTTGTAACGGGTACAAATGAACTCACGATTTATGAGCGGGAATTTGTAGAGCTTTATGACATTTGACTTACCGTGAAATTTCAGGTAAAACTATTGCTCTACTAAGGTGCTAGAAGCGAAAAATCAAAGTGCGCCACGTCACGGGTATACATCAACAATACTTATTTACTTCGTACTAAAGATTCCCCTGAATTATTGTCGGACTGCAAACAAACTCGACGATTTTTAATTTATTAGTCCATAAATAAACATGGGCGATTTGGGGGTTTTTTTCCGTTCGATGTCTCATTAAAAAAGCGATGATACCTTTCATATTGCAATAAAAACAAACCATATTTTCTGTGCTAAAACTCGGCAATAGTGCAGGGCGAGCAGCTGTATTCTGATTTGTAGTACATGTACATTGAACTTGGGCCCTTAGTTTTTGTTTTATCTCGACCAAGTAGGAAACGTTTCAGCTAGCAAATATCGGTCGTGCCAGCCCCTTACGCCTTTTACACACATTTGTCCACAGTGACACACCCAAGGGGGGCCCGGGGGCTTGAACCCCCTCAAGAGGTCGTCAATTTTTTTTTAAGTCAAAAAAGACCGTCCCCCCCCAAAAAAAAAAAAAAAATTCTGCGGCCAAAAATTGTGGGCAACATTTTTTGAAAAAAAAATCAAACTTCTACAAAAATTGGAAAAACAATTGTGAGCCCCCAGCCAAATCCTAACCCTAACCCGTGTCGGAACATAGGGGTTTCGGAACATAGAGCAGTCACAATTTCTTCAACCCGCCCCACCCACCCAATCACGGCAGATGCGCCAAAGATCAGACGAGATCGAGCCCCTTATAGCTAGCTAGCTAAAGCTATTTTAAAGACCTTTCTCTTTCAAAACGTTATTTTTTTCATCCTTCAAAAGTGAGATTCATCATGGTAAAACAATTTAGAATTTTAATATAGCCCTCGTATTACAAATTACATGTACCTCTCAAACTGATGCAGGCAAAACTGAACACTACACAGGACTTGTGCTTATCTTCACAATCAATTTATTCCTGATCCTGAGCGACGTCATACGTCACTACATACATTGTAATTTTCTTGTACAGCTGGTCGTATGACGTTTTCTGTTTTGATCACGTGATGATATGAGCAATAACAAACGTAACGACACCGGCTGGCCGGCTGCGCGCTGCATGCACTAGCATTGATCAATGCACTGTGCTAGCTGTACGTACGAAGGTACTGTGCTGTGCTGAAGATATGGCGGCTTCGGAAATCAGTCAGCGACAGGACTCTGAACTGAGGGGCTTTTCTGACAGCTCCGAGGATGTCCATTTCAAAACCATTCCCTCCACCGTGGACCTTGAGAGTACAGGAGTGCCCCTCAACACCCCCTGGACATTTTGGCTAGACAGGTTTGATGATTTAGACTGTTTGAGAGGAACGAGAAATTGACATTGTTGGTGCTGGATTAACTTTGCACAGTGGTTATTACAATTTTTAGTTGACCGAATTATTGGTCCAAAAAAACTTTTCCTTGCATAGTTTGCCGAATTTTAATTCTAGTTTGATGTCGAGTAGACGTGTGCTATTTATGAGCTAACTGTTATGATTGAAGAATTGATTGGAAATAATGCTTATCCTGCTGCCTATTTTTTTCACGATGTCAAAAAAAAACTTAGGATTCATCGCTCTGTCCTGTTTTTTTCATGGTTACTCATTTGGGAAACCCCGGCCCTACTGCTCATCTGAAAGTTGGAATTTTCCAAATTTCTGATGAGTAGGGCTTGGGTTTTAACTAGGCAAACAAGAATGCGGAAAAGTAAATTCAGGGTTTAGATTTTAAAAACTGGCAAATCAGGAAAAGAATGGCAGAGAATGTTGCGTTCGTTCCTTCCTGGTGGCATTATCAGTATCACATCGACAACAAGCAACGCAATTAGCCCTATACTGCAATTATATTTGATTCCTAAGTTGTCACTTAAGTATCAATTAGGCCTAGTATCCCATTCCAAGGATTCCTGACCTTTGTGGACAGCCACATAATTAACACGCATAATTTTAGAGATTCCTTAACCCTAGCCTTCCCAAATCAAGTTAATGCAAAATGGAGGATTTTGTAGAATAAGGTGTTTCATGGTGATATGAAATCTTGCCGACAGGGCAATTTTACACGCATTGCTGTGTACACATCTTCATTGGAAAACTTTGGCGTTTCCAAGTCATCATGCAGTCATTCCAAAATGTGCCCGCAGTTAGCAACACGTGTTCTTTTTGCCCTGTGAACAAGATGGCGCATATCACCTTAAAAAACCTTCATGTCTGTTTAGAAAAGAACATGCCATTGATAACTTACAACTAAGCCTTTCTAAGATAATTAGGTCAACTACTTACCCCAGGATGGTTCGGTAACGGTCTCATACCCTTCAAATTACGTGGACCATCAACACAGTCTTTGTTCAAGACCAGCGATTGCAACAAAAGACTATTTAGCACCTCGGTTAATCCGCCAACAATGGGCACTTCAGTGGCGAGGTTTTCACGTATTTTGTACGTGAAAGATCAACCCTAGCAGCAGAGCGGTACCTCGAAAAAGACGTGATACTTTGACAGATGTGAATACGTGAAAAGTAAGCCTATTGTTAACTTTTCACGTTTTTTGTTCCAACAAAAGGTTTTCACGTCTTCGGGTTTCACCTTGCTATGGCAAAAAGGTGTCAAGGTCTTGGGCCAGACCTTGTGTTGTTTGCGCTCAGCCGTGCACAAATTTAAGCCTAGATTATACTTGAAATCCTCCGCACTGCTCCAGGATGTCACTGGCTCTGCCTCAACATATTGACAGTGATTGCTGGAGGATTTTGCAGGGTGGAGGCAGTGGTCACCCCTCCAAAACCCACATTCAAGAAACAACAGAGGATTTTGCAGGATTGCGGTTGCATCCTAGCAAAAGTGCCTAGGGAGTTAGGATTAATGTACAATTGACTCATTAGCATTCATGTCATGACTTTTTTCCTCTTCAGGTCGATTCCCAACTCAACAGCTGCTCAGGTAGAAGCCAATCTACAAAATATTTACACAGTTTCAACTGTTGAGGTAAATATACAATGTAATATGCCTGTTCGGTATTCCAAAATAGTCTGGTGCACAACAAGATTCGACGATTTATAATTCAGGATAAACGCAGCAGATAAATACACACAAATTCTGTGGGGGACTGGGTAACCGAATCTGCATTCTGTGTAATTTTTCATGCAATCGAAAAGAGATGGAAATTTCGTTCGCTTAAAAGTTTGAGCACACAAGACACCTAAAAACACTTCGCTGTCCAAATGATTTTTGCAAAAAGTTACTTCAGAACACGACAATCTCTTCAATTTTGCTGGTACCCCGCCTATGCTTTTGCATACGATGAAATGTTGCTCCCGAGAGAAAAATCGTCAAATCTTGATGTGCACATACGCAGTTGGAATACCGAACTGGCTTATTGTCCTACACGTGTAATTTGGCATTACAACTGTGCATCTGCATATACCAAAATTTGCTAATTTTGACTTTGGGATGAACACAGGTGATTAGTGTGGCAACCATATTTGCAATCTGAAATTTTTGTATGCAATTATTTTTTAATACTGTGGATGGAATGTAGGGAAAAAATGTTGCAACCTGACACCACTTTGAACAGCGGTTGTGTACAAAGTCTACGGAGAGTCAAGAAAAGAAGTATAATTTCCTTACAAAATTGGAAATGTTTCTCAGTCGCAGAGTCATGTTTTGTCATCTTTTTTGCAATGACTGACCTCCATTGAGATGATATATGAAGAAAAAAGTGGCGTCAGGTTGCCACCTTTTTTTCCAAATTATGTAGAACAAGAACTTTTCTTCTCGTACAAGAACTTTTCTTCAATTTGCTTGTTTGTTTGTTTGTTTATCCCAAAAAGAAAAAATACATGATTTCACATATCCATTTGTAAAACACATGTGTACATTTGAAATTTATCTGAATTGCATTTTATTTGTTTCTTTTTTGTCTCTCAGATCGTTTGTTCCTCCTACAGTGCTGTGAGTCATTGGAAATAATATGCCAAGAAATATTTCGGCCCAAAGAAACTAAACTATTATTACTTGATTTTCAGAGCTTCTGGGCAGTTTACAACAACATCCCTGATGTTGACAAGCTAGCTTACCGCTTCAGTTATCATCTAATGAGGAATGACATCAAACCTATGTGGTAGGTTTATTTGGTCCGAATGCCTCTGGCTTGATAAGCAGTCAAAGGGCCTATGTTTAATGCATTCCTTGAAAGTGCACCTTTGTGTCTCATTGAACCCTATTTTCAATTTTCATATTGCCATTTTCAAGGGTATTTTGGTGACCTTTTGGTTTTTATGCAAATGCAAATTTCCATATTCATGAGCAAAAGTGTGATGTCATTTCAGACAGAGACCTCAATGTTACAGCTATTTCTGCACCAAAAGTTGCCAGAATTTTGGATACTTTGCTGTTGTAGATTCTCTTTTCTTTGGTGATTCGTTGTGTCAGGACATGGCAGTAAGCCCATGAGCAAACTTTTCTCACAAATATTTTCAATGAGCAAATGTTTGGATTAAACATTTCTTCTTTTTCCACCTGCCGCTAGAGGGCGCTGTAACATTTTATGACATCACCAGTAATTTTTTTTCTAAAGTACAACCTAGCCAGAGACTAACATCATTAAAAGCAAGTTCACATCTTTTTCCACTTTCAAATTATAGGGCACTTCCGGTTAGAACCGGAAGGAAGGGTCACATGATTTGGCACACACGAGATAAAATAGAGATGCGGCTTATTCTATCAATTCCAGCAAAGTCAAGTTCAGGTCTCTCGCAGTTGATTTTATATTGATTTTCAAAGATTAAATCTGGAAATCTTTAATTGCTTGTATTTGGCACTCGGTGACGTCATCATGACGTCAGAGTAATATGCACCACTAGGGATGAGGGTTGATACAGTTTGAAGTTACAAGTTCATACCATAAACCGTTTAGGAGAAAACCCGCGGAGAGATATTGTGCAGGATAAAAAAGAACGAAAGAAAGAAGATTTATCAGAACCATTCTAAACAGTGGTCGGGTTGTGCCCAACCACTCAACAAGAGGCCAACTCATGTGTATCCTTATGGAACCAAAGCACGCACCAATGCAAAGGGTCCATGCATTTGATATATCTGCTTCTAAATATTTTCTTTCTTTAAATCTTTACACTAGCTGGTTGATGCTGTTTTTACCAGACCAGATTACTTATTTTAGAAAAAATTATTCCTATTCCAAAAACTTTACTCCGTATCAGGCAAGTTGGTACACAATTGACCTTTCGCCATTTGCAAGTTAGCCACGCCCCTTAGACAACCCATGGAATTTTGTACAGTAAGTTTTGTTTGTCTCAGATTTTGCGCGCTCCGCGTCCATTCGTATATCATGTAATTGGACAATATTTCACAAGCTGCGTTGACGTGATTCTACCGCGATAGGTCAATACATGTACCTTCCTTTATTTTTTTGGTGAACCCAAATGCAATATCCAACTGATGTACTGTGTTGGTATTTTCTTAGAATTTCCTCTTCATTTCTGTTAAGAGAAATCGGGTTCCAGTATCGAGAATATTGAACTGTAAAGGGTCCAAGAGATGAATTTTTCTTGGGAACATATGTTGTGCAACTTTCTACTCCTCTTAAATACATGTATATGCAAAATATATTTATGACATTCCTTTTTGGTTAATCTTATTGAAAAGTGCGCTTTAAACATTTTCCATTCTTTTCCGTACAACTGAGGGCACCGTTGCTGTGATGTCAGTTCAGGAAGACACTGTTCAGTTTAGGGGTTTTCTGTTCAAATTGTGAACCCAAAAATTGTTCATTGAAAACGTGTGTGAGAAAAATTTGCTCATTGGCTTACTGTCATGTACTGACACAACAAAAAATCAACTAAGACTAAACAAAATTATCAACAACGAAATATCAACAATTCTGGCAATTTTTGGTGCTGATATAGCTGCAACATTGAGGTTTTTGCCTGCAATGACATCACACTTTTGCTCATGAATAAGGAAATTTGCATTAGTATAAAAACCGAAAAGACACCAAAATTCCCCTGCTAATGGCAAAACGAAAATTGAAAAATTGAAATGGGCCAGAAAGGTTCACTTTCAAGGATTGCATTAAAAAAATTAATTACATTGCATGGGCCCTCTATTAAGTAAATACGTCTTTCCCTTCTCATGGAATTGTACCTCTTACCAGATATTGCAAACACTTTCTTCTTTCTTTATAAATTATATCATTGTCAATTCTTCCTACCGATCAATGTTTTATTCTCAATTTGCACTGATGTCAACTTAATCCAGTGAAAGGAAAGCATGCAGGAAAAGGAAAGTGCTTATCACAAACATTTCAAGGAAAAGCTGCTATCTGCATTTCCCGAACAGTGCAAAGCGGTTACTCTTAGTACAAAGAAATCATTGAAATTTGATGACCAAGGAAATTTATTGGCAAAATGTATTTCCCATGTCATTGAGCTCTGGTGCTGTGCCCGCTTGACCTACAATGACCTTTGTCGTGTACTCATTATTTGAAACAGTCAGAAGGCCATGACTTTGTAAACATGTGCATTGCCTGAAGGTTTTTCTTGGACCATAGTTCTGTGTTTCCACAGTCATTTGAGGCAATAGGCCTACTGTTCATTGTTTTTTGAGGGAGACGGACTCAAGGGCTCTGTGAATTGATAGAGTAAGGTTCCCCAGCAACCCTCCACTCACCACCCCCCCCCCCCTGCCTACCCACTTGAAGCATGTGCATCCTCCATCCCCTTGTACCCAAACTCAGAAAGAAAGCAAATGGGTTTTTTATTGTTATAATCACACAGAGTTCCCACCTCTTCAAAAAGAAACCCAGCAAGATTTTCCCCTGCAAATCTCTCCCAAGTTACATCACTCCCTACCCCTTCCCTGTATTAATTAATCCAGACACGTGGTCACTGTACACTCACAAGGCCCCCTTCAATGGAGAAACCAATGTGCATGCTATTGTACAAAGCAACTGCCCCATGACGGATTATCTGAACAATAGCTAGCTCAATGCCTTCGCCATTGAAGGGGGCCTTCGTGATGGAATTGATAGCATGCCAAGAATGGTCAATATACACAGGCAGGCAGCTTTTCCTCAGATCAGCAGATTTTCAATTATTAAAAACTTTACTCCTTTGGAATTTATTCCTATGTCGTGTGAATGTCTAAAGCTTTATCACATTTTGTTTTCTTGAATTGTTCTTTATAAAAACATTGCTCTTTCTGTTGAAATTTTCAGGGAAGATCCAAGCAATGCAAGCGGAGGAGACTGGAAATTCAAAGTACCAAAAGAACAGACGGTGAGAACGTGTCTGATCTTGTGTTGCATTTTTTTAAATTGGAAAACAGATTATATTACAGGCAGTGGCAACAGGTGTGGCACACTGATCATTTCCTTGTTTTCTATTCGTCACCCGAGTTCATGTTTTTAGCCGCTCTGTGTTTCCTGTGTAGTGGTTGGATGAACAGATCTGGCTACCGACTACCTAAAAAAAAGGGCAGTTCTCAGGAAAAACATAATTCATTAAGGGAATAACAGTGTGAGGAGCCGGTCTTCACTGCGTGATAATGACCGGGTGTGGGGGTGACCGCTGTTAATGGACCGAGACGGAGTTAATATTAATTTCCTTGTTAAACCATTAATAAATACCTTTATAACGAAATAAACAGTTAAAATGCTCCAATTTTGTGACTTTTTTCCGACGATATTTCCAGACTTTTTTGTGTTCATGTTCATGGGCCATATTTTAGCTTAACAGCTATAACGACGTAAACTCAACAGAAACTGCTGCCGTAGCGAAACAAATTACAACAATGTTTTCATATCTTTACCTGATGGAGGAAGCTGAAATCTCGTTTACACATTCCTTGTGTCCGGAATTACAAAGATGCTTGGTTTAGGAAAGGTAAATATGTCGGTGGGTGAAGTGTTTCAAAGAAAATAAATCGTACATCTACGCTTTCGTCGTAAACATCCTCAGTATATACTTCACTGCTGTACGATGTCGTTTCAAAACTTCCTTACGCGCGCGCACGCACGCATCCCTAGCAACTGTGTTGCGTACGCGCGCGTCAGTCTCACGCGATGGGGGTTGAGCGCATGTGCAGTGCTCAATTGTTAAAAGCTACCGCAGGACTGTTACTATATTTTGACCAATCATTGGCTTGCATGGGGCTGAACGGGGCTTGATCAATGCTGGTTCAGGGGCCATTTATTCGCTTGATCTTTGAAGCCGGTCCATTATCACCGTTAATGACCGGCCACGTGATCGAGTCTCGACCAATCAGAAACCATCAACTCTCCAAGGTATTTATTAATACTAAATATAAATGGAAAACAACTTTGTAATGTTCAATATTACCGGTAGGTGTTAACACTGTAAACTCAGTGTGTTACCTCCCGTAAGAAAAATCCAAGTTACCTCCCCACCAAGCTGGGGAGGTAACTTTCACTTGGGAGGTAACACGCTGAGTAAACAGTGTTTATACACGGTGAAGGACAAAACCTAATATTGGATTTACATCACCCCAGGCAAATTCCATCTTCTGAATAGTTTCATTACGATACCCGCCGCTACATCAGATTCAAACCAGCTAACCGATCCCGGCAAGCTCGGTGGTTGAGTGGTAAGAAGTCTGCACTAGGAAGCAGGAGGTCGTGGGTGTGAGTCCCACCAGAGTGATTTTTCTTACTTTCACTCGGGAGGTAACACACTTAGTAAACTGTGTTTATCCTTCGGTGAAGGGCAGATCACCCGACACAAATTCCATCTTCTGAATAATATTGTACCGCATAGTGACAAAAAGTATAGCCAAGGCTATGAAGTGCAAAAGGTGATTGTTTATGGGTGTGGGTGTGTCCAACTTGATCATTCACAAGTTCTTCTTCATTTTGTTTCTTCACAGCATCTAATGATTGTTTCCATTCGTCCACGCAGTGTTTTGCGTTAGTGGTGTAGTTCTCGAGGTCTCTAGAGCTGCATGGCTGGGGTAGTAGTGGGCATTTGAGGCAGTGATCCATGGTGTGGTCTGTTTCTGGATGTACCAGTTTTTGTCCTCGGGCAATTAAGAGTTTTCCAATTAAAGAGTTTTTGCTTCTGCACCAGGAGAGAGGTTTTCAGCAGGAGGGATTTTCATGTTAGTTGGAGGAGGGTTGTTTTCGACTCTTTCTCTCCAGAGGTTGATTCTTGTTTCTTTCCAAGATGTTGTCCAGGCTTCGACACGACTAAGAAAGCTCCTCCTTGACTTCAGTCTTTGTATTGGAGGTTGGCGTCCATGAAGGAGATCAACTCGCATGGACCTTTATGAACCTTCAAGAGTTGATCGCCCGCTAATTGAGGACTTAAAAAAATTAAAATAAAAACGTCCATTGTATTTCCCTGTCATCTTCACACTCACAAACCACAACATTTGCATCACCATTTTTGTTTATCAAAGACTTTTCTTTGTTATATTTTGTTCATCTCTTAGGGGAGAGCGTGGAAAGAACTCTTACTAGCGACAATAGGAGAGCGTTTTTCAGACTGCATATCACCAGGTAGATGCAAGATTCACTGTATTTCTGGCTATAGACATTTCTTTTGTTAAAACTAAATGAAGAATACCCCTCTTTAAACTCTTTGCATCTGACGAGCTTATGCTATTTCGGCTCAAAATGGCGCTATCTGGAGATGGCACACCAGTATCAGGCTTTCAAGTATTCCAACTTTTCCTACTTTTCTCTACTTAGTTTACCTTGCTCCTACTGTTTTTCTTGGAATTCCTATTTTTTTCCTACTTTTTCCTACGTTTTTGTCCCACAACTCCGAAAATGAAATCTCATTGAATATTTTTCATAACAGTGTTACACACTGTCATATGTAAATCACCCAATGAAGGGCTTGGGCACAGGAGTACTGTAACTGTACTTCCAAGAGCTTAGTTGAGGATGGAGCACAAGTGTTGTGAGTGTAGAACATGCCAAATGAGGCTTATGGTGCTGTGACATGGGTGAGTATCAACAAAAACTACCCCTGAAAGCCTGCAAAATATGTACTTTTATCTTGATTTTGTCCTCCAAGGTCCTACTTTTGTCATGTCTTTTTGTTATTTTGATCCTACTGTTCTCCTACTTTTTGACCTGGGTCTGCTTGAAAGCCTGGAGAATATGTGAAATGTGCCCAACTTTACCAAATTCGCAGTGAGACATTCGCCATGACATCACAAAGTATGAACTTAAGTACCAAAAAAATTGTAAATTTCATTTACGTCTTCAATTAATTAACCTTCCTGTTATTCCACAGAGGATGAGATCTGTGGAGTGAGCGTCAGTATACGAAACCTAGACGTCGACATCCTCCAAGTATGGAACAAGAAAGCGGGACTGAATGACAGCGAAATCAACAGAGTGGTTGCCATGGTGAAAGACATACTACAGGGAATCGAAATCAAGACTCATTTCTACAAATGTAAGCAGACATTTGTCTTGGATGATTCTTTTTTTTTGGGGGGGGGTAGGGGTGGGTGGGGACTGATTCTTGTTTAATCCAAGAGTCATGATTCTGTTTGGAATGGAGTGTCGTTTATCAGCTGGAAAAGCACTGGGAAAAATCCTTCATATTGTCACCTACTAACTATAAAGCCCCTCAACGTTGATAATTAAAGACATTGAAGGTTACAAATTTAGGGTCCAAGGTGTGACATTTTCCCCTTTCCCTGTTACCTTGATACTTTGTAATTTGCCATTCAACTATCATTAGGAAAGACTTCAAATGAGTTTTGATTTGTTGGGTAGGTAGTTTGCTAGTCATAATCAGTCTTGGAGGACGACTGCATAAGGAGTGCATCAGAATTGTAAAATCATAGATGTCAGATGAAACGGGGACAGGAAAAAAAGTGCATCCCAAATTTCCAGAATGACCCATATTCTTTTGAATAACTTGACTTAAGGGAATGTACATCATTGGCTTTTGCTGTAATTTTCAGAAATGGAGTATTTGAGGGGTTAGTATAACATATATGAAATATTGTTACACTGACATGTTTGAAGTTTTGTGTTCGAAAATGCTGGAAAAACCAAGGAAAACAAAATTGTTCAAGTAGTCTGGTTCCCTGACTCCACTAAAGATGAAATGGATCAATTTATAGTTGCCAGAAAATTGTAAGATAAGGGAACCAGTCTAGCTGGCCTGCACCCGTTCATGAACATGTAACCAATACCAAACAAAATTTGGACTGAAAAAAGGGTAAATTTGGAGCAGTAGTTGAAATATAGTTAGGTTTTTCCAACGGTGGTCGGCCGACTACTGTTGGAAATGTATACAAAAATACCATTTTCTTGAAAATGACTTCACACCAGGTGCCATAATTTTACAGGATGCTTTAGACTGTTATTAACCAACATCCTAGTGAGGTACATTTTTTGTATTTCTTAAAAACTTGGTAGTTTTATTTTTCGATGTTTGCAAATGTTGTATATTCCCTTTAACTGAAGGAATTATGAGCACTTCCCTGCAACTCGGCCATATATCTCAATGTTTCCTTTCCCGTCTCTGCCATTCTTTTCACAGCGCATCAGCAGCATCATGCATTTGAACGTGGACAGAAAAAATAGACTTCGATCCTTAAAGTAAAAAAAAAACTGAAGACTTCTTTTTAACATTATGTGAGCAATCTGTGTGCTTTATGGATACTGGCAGTCACCATGTGATGAATCCCTTGGGACCTTTCCGGCAGTCTCATCACACACTCCTGTGTTTATCACGTCAAAAAGGAGCACGGTTAGTGAGGAAATAGGAGGTACGTACCCAGGGATGAAGCATGGTATCGGAACCCTCATGAATGACAAGGAGGCTCCAAGGTTCAAGTACATACCTGGCAGTAAAGGGCGCGCCCTTGGCACTGAAGAGGCGCCCTTGGTGTGTTGCCCTGTCGCCATACGTGAGCAGTTTCATTTAGCAGCAGAACCATTCAAAGTAACCGGGGAATACCCATAGAGCTACAGAGTGCCCCCCCCCCAAAAAAAAATCGCCCTCTTTTTCACAGCTTTTTATATAAAAAAAAAATACATTGCAAATATTGATACATACTTAAAAAAGCAGCAGAATAATTTACTCAATAAGTATTTTATTCAATCGGAAAGATTTTTTCGTCGTTGAAAAACTAATGAACTACACTTGTCAAAAATGTATCAAGATCTGCAGTGTGTTTTTTTTTTAAAAGCTGTGAAAAAGAGGGTGCTTTGAGGGTTCTTTAGGTTTTTTTTAGACACCCTGTACATTAAATTACTTGAGAGCTAACTTGCTGTACACAGTGCAGCCTGCTGAGTGCAGCCATGTTTGTGCACAAGCCTATGGGAAGTTTAAATTTTGTACGGCTGTTGTACGGCTTTTTGCAGACAGCTACATTTGGTATTTAAAACAAATGCAACAGTGAATCGGAGACGCCCAAAATCGAAACACACAATCAGCAAATGAGCCTTGAAAAGTTTCATTCCATAATTTCAAACGTCCTACGATCCTGCATATTCCATTCAAAACGTCCGTGCCCAAGTGTTGAGGAGTTAGTGCTCAAGTAATTTAATATAGCTCTATGGTAGTACCTTCCTCAATGTTGGGTTTTGTAGGGTCCGGGAGGGGTAGAGATAATGCAGTCAGGAATCCTCTCAGAAATGGTAACAGGTTGTTGAGTCCGTTGGCCCTATGTATCGACTATTAAGGGTTCAGTGCAGGCTGGTCACAGGACTAGCTAACGATGTGAACACAAAATTCCTCAGTCGAGGAGGAGGTGGGGGGGGGGGAGGTATCAAACTTCTGCTTTGTCTCTGACTTACAGATAGGTCCTCGTTCTAGGAACATCAATTTCAATAACACGAGGCCAAAGTGTGTGTGGTTTGAAATTTCAAGGCATCAGTGGTTCTCTAAAACCAGTGAAAAGACAAGGCCAGGGACGAAGCTTAGGTTTCCAACCCCCCCCCCCCCCCTCCCCAATCAGCTGTTGGTTTTAAAGCGGTAATCACTCCGCACATGTCATGCATAACAGGTCAGAGCTGTGGTATGTGTACTGACCTAGCCAGCGTTTTTTCACCTCTCACCCTCTCACAAAGTTTGCAGCAGAAAAGGCATCCCGCGTGAGGGCATATGGTAGAATGATGTTGAAAATGTGCCCATGCATCGTTGGGGCAAATTTCAACATCTCTTCATTCTCTAGTTCTCCTCTTTCTTGTGGTGAATGCAAAAGAAATATTGCAACTGAAGAAGACCAAAATCAAGTGAAATTGTCGGTGACAAAACGTACATGTTAGTGTGAGTTATTAGTTTTGGTTGACGGACCACAAGCAAGGTACCGGTTTATGTGCTTTCAGATGAATTAAAACATGGAACAACGAATTGACTTCGTAGAAAGTATAAAAAGTAGATGAGGCCGTATTTTTTAAATTAATTTTTCTTACAGCATCATAATCATACCCCTACCTACTGCATGTACAAATTTTAAGATGGAAACCGATTGGCTGTTGAAACCTATTATAAGATGGAATTTTGCGTCGGGGTGATATAAATCAAATTAGGTTTTGCCCTTCACCGACGTTTAAACACTGTATACTCAGTGTGTTACCTCCCCATCTTGTAATAGTTTATGCGGTACCCGCTGCTATGTACATCAGATTCGAACCAGCCAACAGATCCCGTTAGCTCGGTGGTCGAGTGGTAAGACATCTGCACTAGAAAGCTGGAGGTCGTGGGTTCGAGTCCCACCCAAGTGATTTTTTTCCAACTTTCACTGGGGAGGCAACACACTGAGTATACAGTGTTTAATCGTCGGTGAAGGGCAAAACCTAATTTGATTTATTGTTGAAACCTATTGTTTTGAAAACATGAACATTTCAAAGCACTCGGGTCAAAACTCGTGGTACTTTAATTTTATTCGCATTTTTAAACTAAATCCAGGTCCAAACGTCCCCGTTGTATTTTCTATGTTTTATCCATGCGCTATCGACCCTTTGCCAGTATTACATTATTATTGTAGTTAAAGGTGGTATTATTGTAAATATTGTACAAATTAAAAGGAAAGAGAAAAAAAATGTTAAAAAGCAACTAATAATGCATTGATAGAACTTAAAAAGGAGCATGTGTTTATTTGTATTGAACAGTCCAGTGGCTTTAGTCATAACATGGTTGTCATACTTAAATGCCATTCAATATGTAGGATCTCTGTTAAGTATTGGCATGTTCTTTTTTTAGGGGGGGGGTTGGGGGGATTGGGATAAAGTTGCATCTATTAGGAGAGCTGTTTTTTTTTTTTTTACGTGGTAATACTCCAACTTCATGATCAATTTCAAAGAAACGGGTTTTAGGTTAAGGTCCGTAAATACTCCGTAATAATTTTTTGTACATAGTATCCAGTGTGATAACAAATTATAAACAGAAGAAATTAATTAGCAAATACATAAAACATTTTGGGTCACCTTACATCAAACTAGTAACAAAATGATGACTTTTTGGTCAAGGTGATCGTGGTGCAAAATGCTGTCCAAAGTTGTTACATTTGGCGTGCTACAACTTTGGAGAAAAACAAATTGGAATTGTAAACTACCAAAAAAAATAAATCCCTTTTGGTGCAGGGAATACGAACCCCAAAATGAAAATTAATTTAAATCGCCCTCAAATATGGAGAGACTGGCATAGGATTGTACGCATACCTTTTTCACATGCAGTACCTGTAATGCATGTATGTCTGTATAATTATTGGCAGTGTATATACTTTATTTCTTGAATATGGTTTGGCAGTGGTCAGAAATGCATAACTTGTAAATTCTGTAAAATCCCTGTGTACAAATTGCGGACCGAGTATACATACTGTATGATAATAACACTAGAAGAGGCGCACGTTACAAGTTGTCCGTATGCAAACTGTAGCTATTTTAGGTAGTTGATGTTTGCCAGAGGAGCATTATAAAGTGTGTTGGATAAATTACACAGTTATTGTAAATGACGAAATTGGCAATTTGAAATGAAGGCATATACTAACAATCAGTGCTGTAGTCGAGTATTTGTAGGCCCCCCAAAAATAGTCAGTCTCTGGTCAGTGCGCGTCGATTTTGATTATGAGCGTTAATTTTTTTCTTCACATTTTCCACGGTAGCTACACCAGCGCCCTATTGCCGCACCACCTCAAACTTTCATGGGCAGCTCGACTCCAAATGATGGAGGGCACAAAGGCAAATGATGGAGGACACCACAGTGTATGAGGACACAAAAAAGCAAAATAGTACCCACCTTGTCTGTACCATCCAAGCTTGAAAAAAAAGAAGCATCGCCGCATCAATTCCGGAACTTAATCTGACCAGAGACCGACTATTTTTATTGTTTTGGCCTTATCCTAGTACAATTGCTGAGTACCAAGCTATCAAGCACCACTCGCATCCGAGTACTTTGACCCTTGAGAACAAGTACAGGTACCCTAGTCCAAATATTTGGACCTTCAAGTACCGTACAAGTTTTGTGAAGCTGAGTCTTAGTACTTGGACCTTCGAGTTCAAGTACTCGTACTCGGACCTCCGAGTACGAGTACTTTATGGAGCACTCAAATGAATAACAATTAAAATGTCAAATAATGAGTGGACTCCAAAACCATCAGTTCAGCAACATGGATTTTATGGACTACTTTTGAGCAAGACTGCTCAAAAGCCAATCCTCCAAGTCAGGAGACATTTTTCATTCAAAACTAAATTACTTGATTTTTCCCCCGAGTCCTCATCATCGAGTAGTTCTTTGATGATGGAGTTCAATATTGAAAGTCGAGTCAAAGTATTTCGCTTCTCGAGTATGAGTACCGTGAATTCAAGTCCGAGTATTTTGATATTGGAGTACGTGTACCATGAATTCCAGTCCTAGTATTTTGATATTCGAGTACGAGTGCGAGTACCAGTATTCTCAAAAATACTCGGGAGTTGTAATCGAGCACGAGTACTGCAACACTGCTAAGAATATACAACATTTTCACTTTTGCTGAGAATCTAGAGACTTTTGATTGCCTTTGGACCAATTACCATTGACTCAGTAAGCACAGAGATTGTTTTTCGACATTGAAAATGTCAAGGGGCATACACTGTTTGTGTCTGATTCCCAAGTTCTGCTTAGCCTGAAAATTGGCAACAGCTGCTGCTAAACAGCTTGATGACATTGAGTCTGAAGTTCTTCATGCTCGCAGTGTGTGCTCTGTGTGTTTAAATGCGTGATCAACTTTTAGTTTCTGCCTAAAACTTCATGTTATTAGGTTTTAGCTGCAGATATTGGAAACAACTGTATTTGAAACTGGCCTTTTGGGTCGTTCTATAAATTTAGGGTCCAAGGTTTGACATTTTTTTTGTCCCAGTTACCTTGGTACCTTGTACATGTAGCTTACTGTGCAAGTATCATTAAGAATGACTTCAAACAATTTTTGATGTTGTTTGGTAGATACTTTGCTATTCATAATCACTTTTTGGAGGACGACTGCAATAAGGAGTGCGTCAGAAATATACAAATCATAGATGTCAGACGTAACAGGGACAGGGAAAAAAGGGGACCCCACATTTGTAGAATGACGTGTTTGTGTTCAAGTATTGTGGTTTTAGCCCCTTCTCCCACGATTGAAAAACAAAGGATTTTTATTCAATCCCCCTTTTGTTGCCTTTGATCCAGCGGCGTAACTAGGGTTAAACTTTTAGGGAGCACCTGGGGGTGCTCCAATTTTTTTCGGGGGGGGGGGGGCACTGAAGGCAACAACATGTACATGTATATGCAATTCAAGATTTTAGATTGGGGGACACGGACTAGACCTCCGCTGGGGGAACATTCCCCCCCCCCCCCCCCCTGCTTCGAGATTTTTGTAAATTGCAAGGGTGTCACTGCTTTTATTTGTCTGTGAAAGAGGATTAGTAGCTTCATGTTGATACCCCCATTTTTTTTTTTTTTTTATTCGCTGAGAACAAGTTGGTGAGAAACCTGATATTTCGATCAGTAAACTATGATCTCCAGGAAAATACTACTAGCCAGTGGACATTTCTGGAGCTAGTAAATTTTATCTTAGTCTTTTGCAAACCTTTTGCCAAATTTAAGTTTGTGTATGCGTTTTAAAGTAGAAGCCCAATTATGCAGTTTTGAGTTTTGTTTTCATTTTCAATTTTTTTCAATAGAGTTTGGACAGATATTCATCACTTAAAAACAGTGTATTTTTACAGTGTGATATGAATTTTTGGCTGTTTTTGGTTATGTTTTCTTTTTAAGTAGTAAAGCACAATATTTTTTTACTTGATAATGCGGTTTTTTACCCCAAATAAGAAGTTTTTGTTAACTGTACTGGCTGTTTTTAAATTTTAGACTGGATTCCTTGTGTGGCAGAAAAGGTTCGGCGACATCTAAAGTTGAAATAATAAAAGATGCAGATATGGCAGATGAATGAGAAATATTAATTGAAGCAGTTTTGTTAATTTCATATCCGGAACTTTTGTAAACAATGATGTAGTTAAGTTTATTTTAACACCAAATGTCACTGCATAGATTATCCAAAGCAGTTAATATATCTTTTAACGGAAGTGTTTTTAGTATAGTGTTGATATTAATCAGGTGTCAGTTGTGTTTATTTAAAAAAGAAAAAAAAAGTCTGAACACAGGAACTTAAAAATCAGATTTGTTTGTGTGTGAATTTTCAGTTAAAGCTTTGGTTTTAAATATGTTGATCTAAGGCCAAGTAAAAAAAAAATCAGTTGATCGTCCGCGCCCGCTTCCTTTTTTGAGGCTGCATCGGTTTTTTTATTTTATTTATTTCAGGCATAACATTTTTTTAAAGATGTTTCAGAAGTTCAGATTCTTGTGATAACTTTACTAATGTTCTATAAGCGCTTTAAACAACTACCCAGAACTATCAAATAAAATGGGCCTCCTCCTTTTTAAGGCACATATCGTGTAAGCTAAATATTTTTAAATAAAAAGGCCCTCATCCTCTTTTTGAGAAAAACCCGGACGATCAACGTTTTTTTAATTTTTTTATTTTTACTTGGCCTAAGAAATACGGGACAAATTTGGTGGTTCATTTTGATCATTTCCAATATAAGGAAAGATTTCCATATACTCAACACCCTGTGTACAAACCCTATGAGATTGGACTGAAAAATTCTAAGTGTTTTCTAAGAAAATGCTTGTATTTTCTCACTGCTCAAATTGACTTTGCATGATGACATGAAATTGCTATCTGGGGGCTTGTTAGTCAATACAGAGGAAAATTAGTGAACTTCGTATATGTAAATCTTTCCCAATATAATAGTGATTTATGGTGTTTTAATTTTATTTTTAATTATAATAAAAGGGCATATCTTGCCCAATGCTAGGTTATTGACGTGACCTGCTCATTTTTTTTTATAAAAAATGTCATTAACAGAATTTTTTTTCCCCACCATGGATTTGATAATCATTAATCTTCGTGCGGTTTTTGCACTTTTATAACGTCACGAGGGGGCGCTGTTCAATCACAATATCCGGGTTGATTTGTGTATCGCATGATTTTTGCACTATGCATGCGGGCGCTGTGTTTACCGTATGTGGAAATTAAAAAAGCGTGACATTTACTAGAGCAGGCTTGGAGGACTTCTTGCACCTCGATCACGCAAGGAACATAGGCCTACGGTAAGTTTCATGAGTGATTTTTTTGATTTTCTCAATTTTCGTCCTTTTTTGCATGAAATAAGTGTTTACTCTTATGTTTCAGTGACATCATTCAACATGTTCATGACAACCCAATGATAAAATTTAGGGGTGGGTAACTCGGCTCCTAGCCCCATAAATGTGGCCAATTTACTGGACTACCTGCCTCCGAGCTCCGTAAACATAGGCCACACATCCACATGTACAAAAACGTGTCGCACTTTGTCAAATTTTGATTTTCACATTTAGGCTTAGTTTGTACGGTTTTTTGCTTTAGAAGCATACTCGCCCTCTTTATAGGCTTATCAGAAAGTGCTGCCTTTTTCAGATGTCTATTTTTCGTGAAATTTCCAGATTCATTTGCACGTTTTGTCAAATTTTGATTTTCACATTTAGGCTTAGTTTGTACGGTTTTTTGCTTTAGAAGCATACTCGCCCTCTTTATAGGCTTATCAGAAAGTGCTGCCTTTTTCAGATGTCTATTTTTCGTGAAATTTCCAGATTCATTTGCACGTTTGCGTATCAAAATTTCAACATGAAATTTCACAAAAATTAGACATCTGAAAAAGGCAGCACTTTCTGATTAGCCTATAAAGAGGGTGAGTATGCTTCTAAAGCAAAAAAAACCTACAAACTAAGCCTAAACGTGAAAATCAAAATTTGACAAAGTGCGACACGTTTTTGTACATGTGGATGTGTGGCCTATGTTTACAGAGGTAGTCACGTAAATTGGCTTATTTATGGGGCTTGGTAACTCCAGCCATGTTCATAGGGAAACAGGTCATCTCGTAGTAGGGCTCACCTTGGGCAACTCGTAGCACCTTGGACAACTCGTACCTTGGAGTTGGACAACTGGCGACAGTGTAGTGTAGGGCCCGGTTCCTATAAGGGAACTAAAACTTTAAAATTATTGGACCTGTCCAAACTAGTTGGCGACATTCTCAATAAACAGGTATGTCATAGATAGAGGGCAGGGTTTTGATTTTTTTAGGGAAATTTGGCGGTAAAATGACGATGACAGCGCGGCGACAACACGCGACCCGAAAATAAAGCTGGCAGTCACCGCGCGATGTACCGTGAGCACGCACGGCGCACTGAATTGCAAGGCACAAACCGCGCAGGAAAATCGTGATTTTTTATCCCAAGAATCTGTTCACAATTGCAAAACGGGTGTCATTAGAATTGAGAAAAGTCTGTTTTTGATTGTAAAGGTGATTTTTGAGCAATAAAAAACATTTTTGACTCTAAACATAACAGGGGCCCTACACTTCACGATCGCCGGACAACTCGTATCTTCCACTCGACATCTTTAATTTATACCAACTCGTACCTTGGACAACTCGTACCTTCAGTTAAGAGGACTCGTACCGTCACGCGTAAGTCAAGTCGTTCCGTCGTCAGTCAGGACAGTGACCTGAGGCCGGCTGGAATCATGCTGGAACGGACCGTAACTCATTGAAAGTGGATCGCTGATTAAAATACACACGAATCTGATTTTTGAATCGGCTCTGTATCACGAAAAAAAGCCCCGTAATTGGCGCAAAAAAGCAAAGCCGCGGCAGGTTGCCCGCACTGTGCACGGGCGGGCCGGTACGAACGATGCAAAGTGACATGCATGGTTCTTGCGCCGTGCGCTGCCGGTTAATGTGGCCGTCGTGCGCGCACGGTGACATTGTTGCAGTTTGCCGTTTTTCAACAGCGTTAGAGGACTTACTTGCAAATATTACAAAACTGAATTTTTGTTTACACTCCAAATATATTTTCATCCCAAACTATGTGTTAACCGCTATTGTATTTTTTTTGGCAGTGGATATTTAGCAGGAGACGGCAATTTTGCAGTAAACGTTAGTTTACCGGAGGTCGTCTCTGCCACTGCATATATAATGATATGACATCACACATCAACTTCTGCGTAGCCTGGGTTCTACACGGCGTCGGCTTTTGTCTTGTAAACGATATTTAGCTAGAGGTTGTCCGTGATTGGCGAAAATATGAATACCGTCACGTACATATAAATTTCAGCAAAATGTTGAGTATGTACAGGTACATGTAATTGCGGATTCTACAAGACTAGACACAGTGCAGAGGCGAAATGAAAAAACTAACCGCATGAAGCGCGCTGCACCCAGACTGATAGTACCATTGCCAGACTTTATCCCTTACGTACAATCATAGAACGTACGTGGACGCATGTTCCGTGTCGCGGCATGTGGAACTGTTTTTGCTCGTGCTTACGCGGGCCATCTTGTCAGATATTGTCTGTCGTGGTCGCATTGCCAGCTGGCCGGCGTTCTGTTGGCCCACCCACGGCGCGCGTGCAGTGGCGTAACTTCGGGGGGGGGGGGGGGGAAAGAAGATTGTATCTCTCGGGTTTTGGATTACTCAGAAAAACAATTAGTACGACAACTGATTACTTGGCTGGTGGGAAAAGAGACCATCCAATTCGATATGGTAAAGAAGGCTTGCCAAAACAGAAACAGTACAGCTTGCCAAAAAAGTCTTTATGGATATTGGTTTAATTTTTAAATGTCATATTGCATACACAAGTTTGTATTTCAGCTACAATTTTTTGTAATACACTGCCTTTATTTTCATTATTTTTAGCCAACAAGTTTGCCAAAAAAAATCACCTGGTGCTTTTATTTTCACTTCATTTTCACAGCTGACAGTATAGGTCCCTTTTTTTGGTTTGTGCATTTGTAGACACAGTATAAGGCATGCCTTAATATAAGTGTTTTCAGATAAATGTACTTTGTAAAACATTTTCTTGCTTGTTGTTTCAAATCTTACATCTTTGTTGTGCTGAGAAAATGGTACCAATAAACAACATGTATGTGTATTGGTGAAAAACAAACTGTTGTAGTCTACAAAGTTCTACATGTTCAAGTACATGTTCCAAGTGTGGCCTTTATTTACGGAGGTAGTCCAGTAAATTGGCCGCATTTATGGGGCTAGTGCACAGGGTCTCAAGTGATGTCTAAGTTAGTAAGAGTAAGTCTAAGTAGGCCTACAGTATGGAAGTCTTTCCTTAACCCTAACCCCCTAGGCCTTTTTGCTATTAACCATCCTCAACCCTCCAAAATCCTCCAAATTTTTACAACAGCGCCTAAATTCTTCAAAATTTTCAGACAGTCCTGCCTCAAAATGCTCAATCCTCCGAAATCCTCCTCATCCAAATGTGTTGCACTTATGTTCAAATGAAGGGTACCCAGCCCCCAATCCTTCAAAATCGTCAGACAGTCCTGCCTCAAAATACCATTCAGCCTCAATCCTCCAAAATCCTTTTCTGAAAAATATCATTCAGCCTCAATCCTCCAAAATCCTCCAAAACCACAAGGAGGATTTTGGAGGATTGAGGAGGGTTGGGGTTAATTAAAATACTTTGAAAAATGCTCTCGCTTGAGTAACTACAGCTGGCAATGCTCATCGCATTACAATTTACAATGTGATGTATGAATTACCATTGTGAAAATGTGCATATATACAGGTAACTACATGAACCTGAAATATTGTCTGAAGATAAGCTTTATCCCACGTGTGATATCTGTATCACATGGAAAATAGCCAAATGAAACATGCTAAATACATTAGCCTTTGGCCTAAGTACCGGAATAACATGACCGAAGGGCCCATAATTTCCGTTACGCACAGTAGCCTTTGGCCTAAGTACCGGAATAACATGACCAAAGAGCTCATAATTTCCGTTAAAGGGAATATACATGATTGGCTTTTGCTGTAATTTTCAGAAATGAACTATTTGAGGGGTAAGTATAATAGATCAAATATTGTTAGACTGACATGTTTGAAGGTTTGTGTTCGAAAATGCTGGGGAAAAAACAAGAAAAACAAAAAGGTTCAAGTAGTCTGGTTCCCTGACTCCACTAAATTTAAAATGGATCAATTTACAGATGCCGGAAACTTGTAAGGTAATGGAACCAGTCTAGCCGGCCTGCACCCGTTCATGAACATGTAACCAATAGCAAACAAAATTTGGACTGAAAGAAAAATGGTTAATTTGGAGCAGTAGTTGAAAAAATAGTTAGGTTTTTCCAACGGTGGTCGGCCGACCACCGTTGGAAATTTTTACAAAAATACCATTTTCTTGAAAATGACTTCACACCAGGTGCCATAATTTTACAAGATGCTTTAGACTGTCATTTACCAACATCCTAGTAAGGTATTTCGTAAAAACTAGGTAGTTTTATTTTTCGATGTTTGCAAATGTTGTATATTCCCTTTATTAAGCACCGTCGATATCAGAATTTTAAATGATCGATATATCGGAAATCCAATATCGAGACTATTCAATATATATCGATTTTGTAAAGGTTATAGATCATAAAGATGACACTTTGATTTAAAAAAAAAAAAATTAAGTCCCAATTTTCCACGGGTTTCTCTGGAGCATATTGCTCAAACTTCTTAAAACAAATCTCAGCACGGACAGTTTGTCCAGAACGGGCGGTTTCTTTTGAGGTTTTACTTTGGGGGAGACCACGATTTCCAGCGAACGCAGAGCACAAAGCGCACTGCTTGGCATTTCGTGATGTTTCTATTTTGAGTCACAAGCAAAAGTTGCCGCCGAGTTTTATTTCATTATACAGCAAACGTTAATTTCAAAGTAAAAGCACAAACGGGAGATTTATTCTGACGATAATTTTCGACGCATCTTCGATACTTTCGATATAATGATTACTCAATATCAAAAATGTTGATATATATCGATTAAAAACATGCTATCGGTGATATCGATATCAAAATAATATTGAACAATCGAGTAACATGAGTAATATCAAAACATCGATGGTGCTTAATTTCCGTGTATCATTTGCTGTAATGGATGACTAAATGGGGGATTATGTAGGAGGGAGGATTACATACATTTTATTATTTTTTGTATTTGTGCAATTAAAAGAAAAAAGGAAATGGACTTTGTGCCAGTACTATTTTCTGTGCTGCAGGTTCCGAGTATTAATTTCTAT